GATAAGGGTAAACAAGCCTAATTTCTCAGGGTATGAAATGAACACCTGCCAAGCACAGAAAGGTAGTGTGTATCCACCATCCACATATGCTTTGCACTGGTGCATTCCATATGGGGTTAGCTAGCTGACTTTTTTTCCAATACTGATTCCTATTGCAGCTAGATTATTGGATTTGGTGTCCAAGAGTATAGAAGAACATAATGCTTCTTATAACTAACATAGTATTCTTTCTGTTTTTCTGCTTCCCATTTTAAGTGTGTGTGTGTGTGTGTGTGTGTGTGTGTGTGTGTGTATGTGTGTACAAATTTAGATTAAGTAGCTACCTCTCCTTTGCTAAATGTAAACCCTGATCAAGATTTAAATCCTTAAGATTTTTTTAAAAGGATATTGACATTCATCTTACTATAATTAGCAGTTAATTTGCTATCTCTCTGACATCTCTCTGGCAAACTAATGATTTTAATGGGTGAACTGCAGCTTCACCTTTTTCCAGGTATTGCAACATTTGTATTAAGAATTTTGTAGCCAGAGCCATTCTTTAGCAGTGTGTTCCTGGTTTTATGGTTAATTAATGGAAAATATGTGTAGTAACATAAATGTTTTACCTTTCTCATTACTCAAAAGATCTAACCATACCTGGTTGACAAGTTCAAGTCTTTGGTTTTCACTGTGGAGAAGAATGGAAAAATATTTCAAATTAAAGTGAAAAGACAAACCTCAAACATTTTATCCAAAAGACAGCTATACCTATACCTGACTAACAAGTGGGGTTTATTTTAATGAAAAACAACATTTTCAGAAAAAAAATTAAAATATTTTTTAAAAAATCAAATAAATGAAACCTGAAATGCTATTTTGTGGAAGCTACGTGTCAAGTACCTCGTATTTCCCTTCTCATGTTCTAGTTTGAAATGAGATGAAAACTACTGAAATATAAATGAAAAGGATGGGTGCAAAACACCTGAACCCTTAACTCCCGGGAGAATACAATAGCATTTCAAAAATGAAACATTTTACTCTTTAGTTGAAATATTTTTATATAAATAAAATGATATACATTTTTCAACAAAATCTTGAATGTTCAGTAGAACATTTTCAATCATACTGTTGACTATCTTGGAGCTTGAAAACAATCTGAGATACAATTTACAAAACCAGAATTGAAAAACTAAGCTTTACAAATGCAAAACACTACATTCCTGAGTGATCTTATTTTTCACTTTAAAAAAAAACACAGTCCTTCAAAATACACTAATATAGTTTGTTTACTTTCAGCTATCTAATGTTCTGATCTAGTTATAAAAAATTATATTGGGTTTTTTTTATAGCCCTAATAATCACACAGATTCAGAAAGGCAGGCTCACAGTAAGCGTCTCAGGAAGTCTTTGTGAAATGCTTTAATGATTCCATTAGGAATACAGTGGCAAAACTTTATTTTTGAAATTGGTGAAAAGGACGTATCATTTCCTGATTACATCTATTCATATGCCTAGAAAAATGCCATGAGTTGAGTATCTCTCAATGTGCATAGCTCCTCTGGATTCATAACACATCTCCTTCTCAAAATATATTGAAACCACAGCATATCAATTCCAGTTCCATCCAAATTTTAAATTCAGTAAGGCTTGTTTATACATACCATTTGAGATTCAGAGAACATTTTTCAGAATAAATCAAAGCACATATTTTAGGGGGCTCTCAGATCCTATTTAGGGAAGTTTCATCAGATCCTACCTCAAAGGAGGCCTAGAGGAAAAATTTCAAAGAACATTCACAGTGTCCATTGTTCATTTTGCCTGTACAATTGACCTTGAACTTGTTAACAGATGCACTAACAGGCCCTGGAAAAATAAAACATTTACACCAGTATAATCAGTTTTATGCTATCATAAAAAGTAGTGGATACAAAATGCAAAGCCCTAAATTAGCATAACTTCACCTCATCTGCTGAAGAAATCTGCTGAAGAAAGAATCAGGGGGGGAAATTGCATCATTTTAAGTTATATCAACTGAGAACAAGAATCTGAAATTATTACGTAGTAAAATTGTACTTAAAAAAATGTGCCTTACCTACTCTCTCCTTGTAAGGGCCTTTTCACATGTTGCACTTTGAGCTGCTCAAATATTGATTGATGTTAATGTTTGGAGCAGTTGCACCTTCAGGCTAAACATTTTCTCTGACTGTCCCCCATCTATAGAGCTGTGACTGGGCTCTAGAGGGCAGGCAAGCAGGGGTCTCACATGTAGCTATGAGTTGCCAGTACAGGGCTGGTTAGCCAGGATAGGTTTCTACCCCTGCTTTAGGTAGAGGTATGTGAGATATGGATTGTGCAGGTGGGAACATGAAGCTGGGAGGTGGAGAGTTAATGAAATGGCAGGGGGGAGGGGTAATGAAATGGGTGGTGGAAAGGAAATGAGAGTGGGGGAAAGAGGTGAAATGAAGGAAATCAGCCACTGAAAGATAAAATAAAAAGAAGTAAAAAAAAACCAAAACATAAAGAGGAAGTAAATTAAAGAAGGTCTCATGTTTTAATAAACTGGGATTTGGGATAGGGTTGTAGGGGGTGCTGGTTGTGCTTTCCCAGGTGGCTGGGAGTGGGAGCGGAGAAGGAAGGTGCTTTGGGGGGAGCTACTGGTGCTACCCCAGGAAGGAAGTCCCAGCTATGGGGACCCAATCTGGCCCCGTACCTTGTTTCTCCCCCATCTACCCTAGAACCTACTCCTGGACTGGTCTATGCCCTGTGACCCAGCTAGCTGGATATTTGCACAGGGTTGCACCACCAAAGGTGGGAAGGTCACAACCCCAGGAGTGGGAGGGGAAATAGGCTTGGTGCCAGAAGTGCCTCCTGGGCAGTAGAGATCGGGGGTGGAAATTTTGTCCACACAGAACAAGAGGGTGTGGGAGAGGACACTACATCCTGGAATGCTGGAGGACTGCAACTTGGGTGGCTCATATGTGGAGAGTGGCCACACATTAATGGATCATAAACTGGGTAACACAGATCAGAGATAAACCTGACCTGCAGTGGAGTAACTTCAAGTCACCTACAATACATGTACAACTAGTCTCAAGTGTTAATGTGTGGACAGTCCAGGGGTTAAGAGTTCCAGGAGCTGCCTAAAATTAATGTGTAACAAGGCCCTTAGTGAGGTTGATTTTACAGTATTGTTCTTTACCTGTCCGCTTGTATGATGTTAATATACTTTAGTTAACAACTAGTATGTTCCAAAACCCTTTAGTATATACTGTTGAAATGCAAAAGTCAATGTATTTCAGTGATAGATTATATATTATATACATACTGATATATTTAGATATTTACAGTGTTTCCCATCACCAAAGCATGTAGCATCTTACAGCATAAATCTATTTTTTCTTTAAATGCTCAAGCTGGACATAACCATGAAATTTGGATATGGACCAGGTCTAAAGTTTCCTGTGTTCAATGGAGTAATCAAATCTTCTCAATGAAAAATAAATAAATATAAACTATTCATAACCATGTGCTGTAACTTCCTTCAAAAGTTTAGTATAAGTAGCATATGCCTTATTCAGTTTCCTTGCTGGCAGCAACTTAGAGAGGCAAAATATAATCATCCAGAATTTGGTTATGACCAGGATACTGGAGAAACCATCCAGGAAAGAGTATTAAGTCTGTGTACAAGTATTTCGAGAGGTTACAGGGAGGTTTTATCAGGTTCAAAATGGCTACCTAAGCTAACTTGGATCCACCTAACTACAGTAAGATCTGTACTTGGGTAAACTAACTGCAACCTGTACAGAAGTTCAGGACAGTTAGAGGGACCTAAAAATGGTTGACCTGATCCACAATTACCCCTACCTCCAAGGTACACTCAACTTAGATGGGGTTGGTCATTATTAGACCTATTGAACTGTCCAGAACTTCTATACAGTTCCCAGTGCAGCCACAGGGCTGGGAAACCCCAGCCCCAGGGCTACACTTTTCCTACCCCCTCCCTGGCATTGGGCTATTTTTAGCTACTTGGTCCCCCTGCCCCCATGTTCAGAGCCCACCAACCTCTCCATCCTGCAAGCCACTTCAGGTGACATTTTTACTATCATTCACCAGTGTGGGAGCTGAGCGAGGGCTGAGGGTTTGGTTCATCAGATGGGGGCGTTGTTCATCTGGGAGGCAGTGGGCTAAAAATAGCCCCTGGTTCTGGGGGGTGGGGAAGAGAGTGTCTCTCCCACTCGCCCCCTGGTCTCTCCAGTGGACTCTACTTGCCACTCCCCTAGTGTCTCTCCCACTCGCCCCCTGGTCTCTCCCACTCCCCCCACAATCCACGATCCCTTCCACGGATGATGCCGTCCCTTCCAATTCCCCAATCCCAGTAGCAGACCATGTGTGCCTCCCAAATCTCCCTCCCACCCTTCCCCCACTAGACCCTCCATCACAACTTACATCAGATTGGGTGGCCATTTTTAACTCAATCTAACCTCCCCCTAAACTCCCGAAGTCTATATGGAGCCAAAAAGTAAATCTATACTTTGTTGGAGATTTACTTTTAGAAATAGGGTAGCTGATTCTCCTTTCCACTTAGAAGAATGCATTGTACCCAGTATTCTTTGGATGACACATTAACAACCTTCTTCAAGCTGCAGGCTAGACACAAGGCATTTTCCCCGCCTAGATTTTTCTTTTCACTATGCAAGAATGACTTTTACTTGTGAACAGTATAAACTGGAAATGGCAAACAGAAATAAAGGCCTACTAAATGTCCATTATAAATGATAAATTGCCTAATGTTTTTTTCTGACGTTGTGTCCAGTCACTGCTATGAGTAATAAATAGTGTTGCTATAACATAGAAATCTTGGAGTGGAAATTAGACATATTTTTAAAGCCCTCATATCATAGATTAAGTAATGAAAAAGGGTACTGTCAGCTTTACACAAAGAAATAAAGTGCAAGGTACAATAGGAGCAAAGTTTAAGATCTTCCTCTGCATGGAATTAAAATACTGTATTCTTTTAACAGATCTGGGCAATTTTAGTGGACGGACAAGAAGTGCAGTGTCTGTACGGGAAGGTCAAGGAGTTGTTCTGATGTGCTCTCCTCCGCTACATTCACCAGGTATAGTAGGCTGCATCTTGTAGTGATATGGCTGTTTTTCTGTATGTTCATTATTTTAGAATGTATGCTTGATTGTGAAACATTAAAGGTAAAATCTGCACAGTTCTTCTGACAATTCTTTGAGTACCAAAGGAGTAATTAAAGATCACCTATTGTAAATGTCATTGAATAGAGGGAGAGTTTCTGTGGTGATTGCGTTATTCCCACTATAACTGTTGAATGTAACATCAATAGTTTCCACGCCACCAGTGACTAATACGTTGCCTTGAGGTCACAGAAGGAGATTTTTCTTAGAGTTCAGAAACCTTCAAAAATTGTTCCAAATGCCAGTGTTGAGAGACTCTTGCTGAATTTTGTTTTAAGTAGCAGATCCAGGATTGTGGTTGCATAACCTTTCCATATAGCTCTGTTGCCAGCACAATAGCATCGTTGCTAAAAGTCAGAAATGTCATAAATCCTAGAAAATGGATCTCTCTGAATTTCAAAACCAAAGCTTGGATGTGCCAAGGAAATTATGTTTCTTGCTCCTCAAACTGGCCCTCCTGCAGTGCCTACAGATTGGTAAATACATCTCATACAAAGTCTTACATTTGCATGCAAATATTTAGATCTAATGCATAGAAAAACTTTCAATGACACAGTATCTTTCTTGTGACTACATATTGTACTGTAGGCTTTAGTTTAATATTGAGAGGTTGGATTTACTTTTTGTCTTCAGCTTGCAGTTAGAGAGGTACATCACACAGGAAAGGGAAGAACATTTGGAATTGTTAAGAAAAAAGTGTTTTCTAAGTTTGTTTTGGAGAACAGTTGTGTTTTATTTCTTTGAAATGTATTTTGAGAGAGAGGCTGGGTTCCACAGAACAGATTTCAAGCCATCTCTCCCCCTGTCCTGCTCCTAATATTTATTACCATTTTTTCCTAGGCCCATTTCTGAGCTGTTGCCTTTTATTTGTAATATCTAATCTGTTTTTGACCTTAACTTAGTGTATTTAAGCAATAAACTCCTCTTCAGTGCATTCTATTGCACGGCACTGAGGTTTCACTCCTCTATGAGAGTCTTCGATGAGAATGAAATAAAAGCAGCTGAGTAGTTCCAACACAGAGTTGCTGGGTCTGACTTCACCAGAAAAAGTATGACTGTACTGCAAACTTACTATGTCAGGCAGCAATACCCTGCAAAATACTGAGCTGCTGGTATAGGCTGCTTCCCCAAGTAGAAGCAATGTAGCAGTGTTCATGCATTGTTGTGGGTGAGCTAACTGGCATTGTCACTCAGCAGGGAACCTATTAGTCTGAAACAGAGGTGGCTGGAGAAAGTGGGGGGAATACAGGCTGAAAGCAGATGCAATCCCTTTGCGAGCTGTATCTGGCCTATGAGCTATAGGTTGCCAACCCTTGCTTTAGAAGACCTATAAGATGTGTGAATGTCCCACATGACCATAAGTACAAATTTGCTTTTATTTAGTTTTTGCATAGATTCTCGGATCCCCCCGAGCCAAACTTTGCAGTTGTTACTCACCTTGGGAAACACTTGCTCACACAAGCAATAGACTGAAGTTCTTAACCCAGGGTAGAATTCAGAGGTGGACCATCAAATGTAATCCCTCATGAAACTCCCTAAGGCAGGGGTGGACAGAATACAGCCCACAGGCCAGATCCAGACTGCCAGCTGATTGGATCAGGACCACAGGGGGTGCCTGCCAGTTGATTTGATACCGCCCATGGCTGCCTCCATAGCACTCGGTATGGGGCTCAGCCCCACCCAGGGCAGCCCATGCTGAGCTCCAGCCCACACCCGCTGGACCAGCCCTGGCCAGTGCACACAGATTACCAGTGGGACTCCTCCTGATGTGGCTGCATCTGCCTGAGAGCCGCTCAACTCCCCTCTCTTCCAGCGGTGGCTCCTTCTCCTGCTGCGCTACACCGAGTGAGGGGGAAGCTTCAGCCAGGCAGCTCCTGCCCCAGCACACAGGGATTCTGCTCCATCTCCCAGCTGCCTTCCACCCACTCCACCCAACCAGTGCAGCAGGAGCAGGAAGAGGAGCCACTGCTAGAAGTGAAGGGAGCTGAGCAGTGCCTGGGCAGATACACCAACATTGGGAGAAGCTCCACTGGTAAGCTGTGTGCGCTGACCACGGCCAGGCCAGTGGGCATGGGCCGGGGCTCAGCAAGAGCTGCCTTGGGTTGGGCTCAGCCCCCTGCAGAGTGCCACAGGGGCATCTGCAAACTGCACTGCCCAAGCAAGCTCTGCTGCACACACCCCCAACAGGACTGTTTGCTCATGTAATAAGCAGTACAGTTGGATCTTTCAAAGCAAGTGACTATCATAGTGACAGAGCAAAACTGACTGAGTTATTAATGTAATGTTTTTTCAAATGTGAGATAAAGTAAGTGCAGTTTAATCATACATCTGCTAGATTTACACTCTCTCTCTCTCTCTCTCACACTCACACACACACACACACACACACACACACACCCCACCCCAGTTCTTTCCAATAACCATGAGCTTCTTTGCAAGGTCCCAGTGAATAGGGAATATTTCATCAGCTGGCTGCCAGTTGCCAAACAAGATGGCTAAGTAATAAAAAATACAGCACTGATTTCTTTTCAGGTTATGGAGAGGAAATAGAAGAGAAGAAAATGATATTCCATTTTGATGCATTTAATTTGTTCAGTTTTTTAGTTATTAATTTCCTTCTTTGGAGATGGAAGAAACGAACCCCCCGAAGAATAGTCAGCTGGCAAAGAGGTTTTTCCCCACATAATGGAAGGCAGGAGCATGATAGGAGGTTGATATTGGCTAGATACTCTCTAATTCAAGGCTCCACCAATGTACTCCCAGGTGTTCCTCCTAAACCATCTTTCTAGGTGGAGATTTCCCACTCCTTTCAGGGACTCCCTGCTGCACCCTTTTAGTTTATCCCTTTTTTGCAGCTTTGCCAGCTACCTCCTGCTTCTCCCCAAAACTGTTCCTCACTGAGCAGTTAAACAAAACATTCACAGTTTCCATTACCTTTTCCAGCCATCTGTTAGGTAAAGCCCCAAATCAGCTTTATTCTCTCCCTAGGCCCTATTAGGTATTCCTCTCAGATAAAAGACGGTTGATTTTAACCTCTTTAAATGAAAAGTTTGTTTAATGTTTCCATTTTAAAAGGCCTTTACTGCATTTTTTCTATAAACAATATTATGTTTCTTTTTTGTTACATTCTGAAGAATGTAAATATGGGGCTTTATTCAGTTATTTAATCATCATAATTACAAGACTCACCATAGTGAGATTAAAAATGAATGGGAGATTTCATCCTGATTTACATTTTTCCCTCAGAATTAATACTTTCAGCTGAGCCTTTTAGTGCTTTTATATCCAAAGCTGTTGGTATGTACTTAATAGAGAATGAGCATTCTCATTGGTAGAATTAGAACAGTGTTTATGTACTACATCCTGTGAGCATGAAAAGCAGATGCATCCTCCTCCTTGCTCAAAGAGTCATTCCTGTCTGGAAAGGATGCTGCTTTATAATCTTTCCACATAACAGCTGTACAGATGTTAAATTGTAACTTTTATATCTATTTCTAAAGAACAAATCTGGTTTTGCCCTATTTGGAAAATGTGCTATAAGCTGCATCTTTTGTGTCTTTCCTTCTATACAACAAAACCTGTAGCTTCTATGGGAAATGTTTCACAGAATATGATTAATGCCAATGTTACTGGGATCATAATACTTCCTATGCATCTTTTGGATATCTGCATGGATCTCTGCATAGTGTTTTGCTAACCTGGCAAGTCACTAAAACTAATAAGAACCTTTTCAACTCAAAGATCAGGATTTTGATCAGTTCTTTTACATACTACAAACCTGACTCTAGCCTTACCTCATGATAATGACAAAAAATGCTATAGGTAACATTGAAAGTAAGTTGTACAACTGTTCTGTGTCAGATCATTAAATGTAAAGGAAAACTGCTCCATATCACATCTCAGACTCTACAAAATGCATTTGAAAAGAAAGTCTGCATTAACAGTGTAAATTTTGGAGACTAAAAAGCTTCATAAGAAAGACTGATCAGCATTAAGATGCCAAATTCAATTTAACTGAGCTTTGGGGGGGTTCATGTGGAGCAATAAGGGAACTTTTACACATGCTTCAGGGATTGTCGGGGGAGGCACTTTAATTAGAGCAGCTCCCAGAGCTGCTGTAATGAAGCACCAAAATGTTTCGTGTATCAGTGTCCCCACACTTAAAAATGGGGCTGGACACTTGAACTAAAGCTTGTTCAACAAGCATTAGTTCAAGCGCCCCTGCTACCATTTTTAAACAGGAGGATGCCAGTACTAGAGATTTGGGAGGCTGCTGAAGCGCAGTAATTGCCATGCTCCAGCAGACTCAATGGAGTCTGTTCCAACAAGCGGATATTACAGTGCATTGGAGCAGCCTCTACACTTGTGTACAAGCACCCTAAACTCCTTGGCATAGGTCTGTTTTTTTAGTGGACTAAGTACGCATAAACTGAAATGCAATCTCAGGTACTGTAGCTACAAACAGGTGTTGCATTTATCCCAGAATAAACCATTATTTCATGCAGTTGTTCAGACACTCATGTCTGTTGTCCTGTGATTAACCCTAAAAAGGTTCACAGGATAAGAAGTGCTAACATTCACAGGACATTGTGAAGTGCATCTGAATGGTTGTCCTGAGATTGCATCATTGAATCAATGGCAGAAAAGTGGCAATTCATTGAGCCACTCACTGAACCCCGATTGAAATAATGATGTATCCTCGCTTACCCCCGACCAGTCATAGGTTGAGTCCCACCAGGTCTTCGTTATCCCTATGAGATCGTAGTCATTCTTGTTTAGCAGGAGGACCAGTTCCTCCTGTTTGTTCCCCAAGCTCCTGGCACTGATATACAGGCACACTGGAGGCCCTAGTCTTCCCCACACATTGTTCCAGTGCTGGGGTAGGGGTGGGTTCCCTTGAGTGCCTTAGCCTGCT